ATGGTTCGCAAGGGACTGACATGAAAATACGTACCAGATACCAGTTGGTCGAACAATTGCGACGCCATTTCTGGGAAAGATGGAGGAAAGAATATCTGGCTGAATTGCAACAGCGCGCAAAATAGCGTACTCTACAGACAAACTTAAAAGAAGGTGATCTGGTAGTCTTCAAAGAGCCCAACTTACCACCACTAAAGTGGAGACTTGGTTGAGTTCAGCGGCTTTATCCTGGGGATGACGGAGTAGGCAGAGTCGCTGATTTTAATACTTATCGAGGCATCGAGCGACGAGCCATAAATAAGATCTGCCTTCTACCTACTGCAGAAGATTCTGAAATTTTGGAAGATGCAGCTGTCCTTCCAAAGGCGGGGAGGATGTCGGCGACGATACCTAAACGTGGGGGGTACGCGGTAGCGGAGTGCGGGGAGACCCGGAACAAAACGTGAGGACAGACAGACGCGACACAGACGCGTGCGCAACACCAACATAAGCAATAAGCCGCAGACTTAATGTGAATCGAATAATATAAAATTTTAAAAAGCAAAGTACATAATAAAAGCATAAAAATATAATTATATGATTTTGTTCAATTCCTGGACAACATCTCTGAGTGGATCCGTATGTTCAAAACACGAGTACGTTCCAGAATCTACCTAAAAAAACTACTGTAACACCATCATCGCGGGATTACCTCGAATGTCAACTAGAATTTTAAATATGCTTTTAAAAACAATTCGTCCGCGTAATCTACACATACCTATGGTGCAAAAGATAATTTAGACCAGATACACGACTGTATTAGATGGGTAGACGAGCTCACAGCCCACCTGGTGTGAATTGGTTACTGGAGCCCATAGACATCTACGACGTAAATGCGCCACCCACCTTGAGCTTTAAGTTCTAAGGTCTCAAGTATAGTTACAACGGCTGCCCCACCCTTCAAACCGAAACGCATTACTGCTTCACGGCAGAAATAGGCAGGGTGGTGGTACCTACTCGCGCAGACTCACAAGAGGTCCTACCACCAGTAAAGAATAGTATTAGAACGTTGTTGACCAATCTATTTCAAAGGATTTCAGTATCAGCCAGAAGGGATGGGATTTGCTAACAGCCCCAGGAACGCCTCCGGAGGGGACCGAACAACTCAAGAGTAGCTGCTTAGTAAATGAATCTGCTACCGGATCGGAATTGCGACCCGCTGAGAAGATCCGCCGAGAAACAGCGGGCTGATGCATGGGTTAGGTTGCATATCGAACTCCTTGTCGAGTTCGACGAGTACGGTTACCGGGGTCCCTAAGCCTGCTCCTTGTTTTAGAGTTGAATGCGTCTAGTGCGGAGGTTANGACCGAACAACTCAAGAGTAGCTGCTTAGTAAATGAATCTGCTACCGGATCGGAATTGCGACCCGCTGAGAAGATCCGCCGAGAAACAGCGGGCTGATGCATGGGTTAGGTTGCATATCGAACTCCTTGTCGAGTTCGACGAGTACGGTTACCGGGGTCCCTAAGCCTGCTCCTTGTTTTAGAGTTGAATGCGTCTAGTGCGGAGGTTAGCGGATATGATGGACTGTGACTGGCTCCTGCGTGATCAGGATTCGGTGGATAGTCAGCGGCGGCAACGTTAAGGCGATTATCATGATACTAAGGCCTTATCGAAGTAGATTGTTATGCTGAATACGCTTATTCCTCGTTGGTAATCTCAAGGTATTAGTACAATCTAATCATTCGTAAATTCATATCTTTATTAATTTTATATTTCTAGTATATCGTAGGTAGATTGACGTATCCTATCATATCATGCGTTGAAGATCTTTAAAATTCCAAAGGTAATTTTTAATGCTTCAAATGGTTTAAAGGCGGCCTGTCTGTGACGTCACTTTACTTTGTCTATACTCGTATAAAAAAGGACATAGATCACTGTAGATGAGATCATCGCCTTAAACGTTCGCTGGAGTTCAAGAGAAACGTAAATTCCGGAATACACTTTGAGACAGACGAACTACGAGATCGCCTGGTCATGTAGAAAATCAAAAATTTAACACGAATGTCATCCACATTACCAAAACTATGCCGAATATGTGTCATAGGGAATTAAAAAAACTTAAGTCATACAAAAAAATTAATTACGTTAATTTAAACAAACGAACAACAATTCTAGAGTGCATTGCATTTATTACATGCATTGCATTTACTACAAGCATGCATACGTTATTACAAAATTATTACATGTCTTCATCTGAGCAGCAGCATTCCATTGTCGGAGACGTAGTTCGAGCCAGTTATGCTTCTAGCTTTGTCACTTGCCAGGAACAACATCAACTCGGCAATTTCTGACGGTTCGCCTATTTTTTTCAATGCCGTGGCAGTCTTCAAATTGTCCCAGGTAATCTGATTATCAGAATTCTCAAGGATATCAGTTAAAACAGGACCTGGACTGATGATGTTTGCTCTGACACCACGAGGAGCTAATTCCAAGGCAATACCACGCGTAAAATGATTCAAACTAGCTTTCCCCATGCAGTATGCAAGAAACCCTGGCATTGGTACCATGGTTCCGCCGATACTGGATACGTTTATGATATTTCCCTTCGTCTCGATGAGGTGCGGAGCCGCGAGGCTCGTTATCAAAATGACCGCTCTCAGATTAGTCGCTGTGACTGCGTCGTACGATTCAAGGAGGTTGCCAGCGAGCAGGGACCCGGATTTGTTCATTCCAGCGTTGTTAATGAGCACATCTAGCTTCCCGAAGGCTTCAATGGTTTGTTGGACGATGGTCTTCGCTTCTTCGTCATTTGAAATGTCAGCTTTAATGATGAGCGGCTTTTTGCCAACCTGCGCACATTCCCGGGCCACATTGTCCAGTTTCGTAACGTTACGACCTACTATGGCCACGTCCGCACCTTCCTTAGCGAAGTGTACGGCGGCAGAGGCACCGATACCCGAGCTGCCCCCGGTGACGAGAACCACTTTATTTGTGAAACTCATAACGTCTACTCCGTGCAAGGTCCCTGCGTGAACTGAATGGTATTTATTGATACGACAAAACGTTCGCCTATTCCTTATCTATTATCTATTACAAACAAATAAGCGAGAAGGCGACTCGTTTAGTGGAAACTATTTATAAATACGCACTAACATAATAATATACGACATGACATATGCGTGGTAACAAACGTTGTGGTTCTAATAGGTTTTTTTTTGTTAAATGTAAATTGTAAAGATAGACAGTAATTTAAGGTCATTTAAACTGTTAAATTATTATTATTTTTTTTATTTTATTTGACGTCCTCTTCCGCTTCAGGTTGATTTTTACGGCCCACCTGGTGTTAAGTGGGCACTCAAGCCCATAGACATCAACCATCTACTTTAAGACTTGAGTTTTCAGTCTCACTTATTGCAGTACAACGGCTGCGCACTCTTCTAACCGAATCGCATTACTGTTTCACGGCAGAATTATGCAGGGCGGTGGTACATACCCGTACGGACTTCAAGACGTTCCATTACCAGTTTTTGGACCAAAACGAACTTAATAAGAAAGCTTGCTATGGATCTTAATAATGTACCACCGGGTCGGCAACGCGACCCACTGAGTAGATCCGGCGAGAAACTCAGTGGGCTGTCTCTATGGGTTAATTCGCTCGTCGAGCCCTTCGTCGCAAGCGACGGGTTCGACGAGAACGTTGACCGGGGTACCTAAAAGCACCGTTAGTGGATCGGGAGGATCCGAAATGACGTGTTTTGGGCGACGTCTATTTGGTCCGCAGGATCGGATATGTAGTTTCCGGCGGCTACGATGAGGGGATTCGCGTGTCGTGCCGCTTTATCGAAGTGGCGCGGCGCATTGATGTGGACTGTAGATACTTACTGATGGACTCTAGGTCTAGGACGTCGTGCAGGTTGATGTTCCTGACGAACCCGGGGCTCCGACAGCTATCCTGCAATAGCGGGATTGAATATTTTGAAGGGGTTTCAAGTTAGTGCGGGCCGCGTGAGCGAACACTACACTTGCATAGGTCATGACGGCGCGTATGCAAGTTTCGTAGAGTGTCACTTTATTTCTAATGGACAATTTACTTCGCTTGCAAATTATCGGATAGACCCTCATACATGAGGAATAGGCCTGGGTACGCAGACTTTGGTTTTTTAAATAAAGGCATGCGTTCTGTGCATTGTGTTTTTGACCAGTTCTATGATTAATTATATAAACACAACGGACAACCCATTTGCCTCTTTTATATGTGGACACCGTATCGAAATCATATACGATATGTTGTTACTCCCACAACTAATATTACCTCATACCTATGTTGAAATATTTCAAAGGCAAATATTTCAAATATTGTAGAGCGTGCCAAAGAATTAAATGCATTAGAATGCATACGATTGAAAAATATTTTTCGACTCTGTTTATAGCTATAGGTACAAAATTTACGAATTTTGATTAGACTAACATCTAACAAAATTTAAGGACACTTTTGTAAGAAGGAAAGTGTTTCTCTAAATTACCAATAGATGGCGTTAAAATAAATTAAATCAATCACTTAAAAGTACTATTATTTAAATGGGTTCTTATCGCGATTTTTAATTTTAGTTTATTCCCGATATTTCTTTGTTTTGCAAGTAAGTACCATGATCATCGGTACCATGAAGACTACGAGTCGGATGTTACGGCAAGCAAATCATTATACCTCCTTTCTTAACTTTGTTTGGGTGTTTGGAAATCGACGATCCGTAATAGGCACTTTTTGGCGTCGCAACTTTTTGTTTGTTAAACCCATTGTTGTTTACTAAACTTAGGATCTGATTCCGCTAACATAACTAGATGGCCGGAAGTTTTATGCCCAGTTAAAGTATTATATAAGGCTATTTTCTTTTTCTCCTACCTACGCCGAAAGTCGGTTTTCGTCCCGCTGTACAGGGAAGAAAGTGTAACTTTTTCTCCCTGGGTACAAGTGCGCATGCGCGTTAGTGTCTACCCCTGTTTTCCAATTACAGCACAAGAGCGCATTATGAAAAGAAACTAGAAAGAAAAAGTCATATATTTATGAAATTAATTGTAATTTCTGGCTGTACGCTAAGTTCCTTTGCGTGCACTGGCGAATACCAGAATTAAAAAACAAAATTTTAATAGTTTTCAAAACAATCTCGAGCGGTCGGAAGTTTTTATTTTGCTTTTTCTAGATTTGTTGTTACTTTGTGAGTGAATTTAACGTTAAATAAAAATTATGAGGTAAGTAAAATTTAGTTTTGAGGCTATCAATGTTTCATCCATTGTTTTTTAATGTAAAATTTAAATATATTACCAACAGATTTATCGAGCGTTCTTCTCATCCGACATTGGCGCAAATAGAGGCATTGATAAACGTTTTGGGTTAAAAGCTAGCGAAACAAAAGGATTAATCGAATCTCAACATGTTCAATAAGAGAACAAGGAACAAATATAGGAGAAAATATAGGAATTTAATTCTCTTGTCAGTTAAGATCCATTCCCGGTGAGATATTTAGGACATGTTAACATCTATTTATGTATGATATATCTATCTACTACGTTTTTATTGATGTTCATTTTAAAAGGGCATGAAGGTAATTTATTTGTATCTCAAATTAACCAACAAAAAAAAAATTTGAATTAAATAAATCAAATCATTAACAATTTAGGTATTGCAAGTTGGATTGATGTTGTTGGAATGTTTTTTATTGATGCAGAGGTGACTGTATCTATGGTAAAGGGTGTTCATACTGGTACAGGGGTGGCAGGCGGTGCCAGAGTATTGATTAGCCCTAGACACGTCCTTACGGATCCATCAGATCCAATAACCTTTGCATTAGACGCCTTCAGCTCTAATACTAGGAGCAGGCTTAGGGACCTCGGTAACCGTACTCGTCGAACTCGACAAAGAGTTCGCCGTGCAACCTAACCCATGAATCAGCTCGCTGAGTTTCTCGCCGGATCTTCTCAGCGGGTCGCGATTCCGATCCGGTAGTAGATTCATTCGCGAAGCAGCTACTCTTGAGTTGTTAGGTCTCCTTCGGAGGCGCTCGGGTAGCTGTTAGCAAATCCCACCCCTCCTGGCTGAGCCTTTGCTCGCCCACCTGTCCTGGTGAAACTGGAAAGGCCTCCGGGCCACCAGTAATCCTTCAATCATAAAAAAAAAAAAAAAGTGTTGACTAAACTGACATTATGTAGGCTGCATACTCCGTTTAAAATAAATTGCAGTCATCCTCCTCTAACTAAATGCAAGTGACTTCTACTTATTGTGATGGTACTACTAGTAGCTCCAGCCACAGTAGGTCTCACATGTTAGTCAAGAGATTGGGTTGATATGTAAGCGTTTATTCAGGTCAAAGTACCTATTCATTGAACAACCATATTAGGGACATTGATTTGTGTATAATGCTTTTACTTGTTAATAAAAACATTTTGTTGCATGTATTGTAAACATTGTATTTTACCTAGCCTTGTTTTTAAATAAATTTATTATTTTTTTCAGCACCTCAACACCTGACCTGCTATTACACCACTTTTACAATGAAAGAAAGAAAGAAAGAAAGAAAGAAAATCTTTATTCGCCAGAAATATAGTTTACAAGATATAGGACATTGCTTCATATATTTCGCCTGTTTAGGCATGCGAAAATTTAATTTATTTTTATATTAATTATAACACAAAATTTACTAAATCTATCTATTTTTACATTCTATCACTTCTTATTCTAATATTTTAGTATGTACAACACTTATCATTTAAAAATTCTTGCACACTATAATAAGCCTTGTCTATTAGCCATAAATATAATTTTCTTTTAAATTGAGTTAGTGGAAGATCTCTTATGCTGTTTGGTATCTTATTAAATATTCTGATAGTCATAGGATAACAGTTTGTATGGTAGTAACGAGTATTTATACTTGGTAGAATACTTGAAAAGGAGAGTGTACTCAAATTACTGATAGAATTTTGTAGATAGAGGAACTGTAGGTGAAGATTCAGGGTGATCATAATAATATGTGTGTCGTCCAAAGCATTTTTGAACACAATACCATGTATAACTTAATGAAACTTACAACCATGGGGGAATGAATAGTCGACAATCTGCAAGAAGGACGGTGGAATTAGCACATGCAGCTAGCAATTTTAAACCTGTATTTCCGCATAAGTTACTGTTGCAAACAAATTTCAAAATTATTGTATATAACTATTGAATAAAACTATTTTTATAAATCATTAATTTATATTTGAAGTTACTTCACACTATAAGTAAGCTAATTAGTAAAATTTAACAAAGTAATTCAACATGACCACCATAATGTACATGTAATCTCATCATCTGAGATCATGGGAACTGGCAGCTCTGCACAATTGCAAATGTTGTGCAAAACAACACGCAACAACTATTTGCTACCTTATCAGGGTGATAAATTGGCACCCTATAGATCAGCAAACACCTGAATCTACTCTAACATACCTATTGTTCTTTCCACTGAGTTACGGGCAGTGGAATGAAGGCGGTGCTACAAAGCTTCAGGAGTATCTTCCTCCGTATTAGCATTAGCTAGCTATTATTAGCAGGTATTAGCTAGCATAGCATAGCATTATCGCCTCTTTCTGCCGTGAAGCAGTAATGCGTTTCGGTTTGAAGGGTGGGGCAGCTGTTGTAACTATACTGAGACCTTAGAATTTATATCTCAAGGTGGGTGGCGCATTTACTTTGTAGATGTCTATGGGCTCCAGTAACCATTTAACACCAGGTGGGCTGGGAGATTGTCCACCGATCTAAGCAATGAAAAAAAATTAGCAAAAGGTGTTATAAGGTTGGAACGTTGAGCATATACAGAAAGCCCGAAAAGATGTTAAATAATTATAATGATCATTACTTGCTGTCGTTGATTAATCTAGTAGATTTTATTTTGTTTTGATTATAACTGAATAAAGTTTATTTAAGATAAATACTAAATTTCACAATAACTTATAGCAATAAACACAATTACAATTTAACTGAAATGAATACATAGGTTCTTAATACACATTTCGTTTATGGATTACATATCAGAATTTCGAAAAATATTAATAGCTTTACAAATTGTACATTTCTTGCATGATATCCTTTGCGACAGTGAAAACCATTTTTTTTTTATAGCAGATATTTTTAAGGCCACCAACTTCCCATCAATACACCCAATAACCCAAAGGATTCTAAATTTTTCATTAAAACTGCAATATTTAGCATTACATTAATATTGGTAATTTTTATGAAGAAATTTTTTTTTTATTTAGCTTAAACCACCTTCTTTTTTCTTCGCTTTTTTCTTCGCTCAAGAATGGCAAAAGTTGAAACTTTTGCCATTCTTGAGCATTCTGTGGGAATCTTAAATATTTATATATAGTTGCTAGGTTGTTCAGAGCCTCCACAACCTCAGATATACACTGGGGTGTCTGGGACAAATATGTTCTTATATTTTCTTTTATGATTTTTTTGGTAACTTCAATTGACCAAAAATAACAAGGTGCACAATAACTGAAAATAAGAAATTATCATTATACAATACACATAGTTATTAGAGAATCTAATATGTATTCTTTCAAGATATTTTTGGTAGATTAGTTTAGGGGTATTGTTTTACAATAATGGGAGAGTTGGATATAAGCAAATGGGCAAATTTTACTAATATGTTATAAAGTACCTATTTTATACATAAATACACAATCTTACCACGTGGAATACCTACCTTTAGAAGAGTTGAAAGTCCTTTTCACTGACTTTTAGTGGTCTTCATGAAAGGGTGTAATTCACATCCTAACTGCTTCATAGGATCCTTCGACAATCTATACACTTTCTTTATACTCTTACATAGTCGTCATCTCAAGTTAAAAGTGATAAATTGTGAATTTCGTAGGTTTTTCGACGCATTTCACGCTGATCCGTAGCGTCAGCCTCTTTCAACAATGTTTTCAATAAAAACATACACTCCATAAAATATCGATGAAGAATAAAGTTATTTTAAAGTGCAATTTTGGTAATTAATAGTATTTTTTTAATAATTAACAGTGGTTTATTACGTTTTCGTATATTCTCACTCACAACAAACACTTAAAACACTAACTTTTGATTTGACAAATAAAATGATGTTGCGATGCGAAGCTCTTGTCAAAATTAAACGTGATTTTCACTACAGAATGCCGTTTCAAACATCAACTCATACATTTTATGTAAAAAACTCACGCTTGCTAGTTCAATTCACTTCTGATCTCCCGCGAGGGGCGCTAGTGTAGATTAGGCACTACAACGAAATTTACAGAATGCCAATTTGAAAACTCACACCAAATTCACGTGCGAGTTTGTTAAACAACGCTTACAGAATCGCAAGGCAGGCCTATTCCTCATGTTTGAGGGTCTATCCGATTATTTGCAGGCGAAGTAAATTGTCCCTTAGAAATAAGGTGACACTCTACAAAACTTGCGCCGTCATGACCTATCAAGTGTAGTGTTCGCTCACGCGGCCCGCACTAACTTGAAACCCCTTCAAACTATTCAATCCCGCTTTTGCAGGATAGCTATCGGAGCCCCGGGTTCGTCAGGATCATCGACCTGCACGACGTCCTAGACCTAGAGTCCATCAGTAAGTATCTACAGTCGGCATCAATGCGCCACTTCGATAAAGCGGCATGACACGCGAATCCCCTCATCGTAGCCGCCGGAAACTACATAGCCGATCCTGCGGACCAAATGAACGTCGCTCAAAACACGTCATTTCGGATCCTCCCGATCCACTAACGGTGCTTTTAGGTACCCCGGTCAACGTTCTCGTCGAACCCATTGCTTGCGACGAAGGGCTCTACGAGCGAATTAACCCATAGACACAGCGCACTGAGTTTTTCGCCGGATCTACTCAGTGGGTCGCGTTTCCGATCCGGTGGTAGATTCTGCGAAGCACGGCTCTTGCTAGGGTTCGTGTTAGAAACTTCGTCAGGTTTGAGCCCCGTGAGCTCACCTACTAGTTAAGGTTACGTTGATATGGTCTCTCTAGACTCTAGACCATCAGCTTAGGTAGGAAAAAAAATGTACGAGGGTCGTGACCAAGATCATCCATCTATCCATCAAATAAACTAGGTTATTCAAGGCATTGCAGATCTGTCTGTAGTTTGTTAGTTTAGTCTATTAGTCTGTTATTTCAGTTATATAATATGTTTTATTTGTTTGTTTGTTTGTTTGTTCAACCCCGTATTAGTTTAACACGACCTCAACCGAACAATGGAATCCATAATAAGATCCATAGCAAGCTTTCTTAATAAGTTCGTTTTGGTCCTAAAACTGGTAATGGAACGTCTTGTGAGTCCGCACGGGTATGTACCACCACCCTGCCTATTTCTGCCGTGAAGCAGTAATGCGATTCGGTTACAAGAGTGCGCAGCCGTTGTACTGCAATAAGTTAGACTAAAAACTCAAGTTTTAAAGTAGATGGTTGATGTCTATGGGCTTGAGTGCCCACTTAACACCGGGTGGGCCGTAAAAATCAACCTGAAGCGGAAGAGGACGTCAAATAAAAAAAATAAAAAAATCTAATATAATTTAACAGTTTAAATGACCTTAAATTACTGTCTATCTTTACAATTTACATTTAACAAAAAAAAAACCTATTAGAACCACAACGTTTGTTACCACGCATATGTCATGTCGTATATTATTATGTTAGTGCGTATTTATAAATAGTTTCCACCAAACGACTCGTCATCTCGCTTATTTGTTTGTAATAGATAATAGATAAGGAATAGGCGAACGTTTTGACGTATCAATAAATACCATTCAGTTTACGCAGGGACGTTATATGGAGTAGACGTTATGAGTTTTACAAATAAAGTGGCTCTCGTCACCGGGGGCAGCTCGGGTATCGGTGCCTCTGCCGCCGTACACTTCGCTAAGGAAGGTGCGGACGTGGCCATAGTAGGTCGAAACGTTACGAAACTGGACAACGTGGCCCGGGAATGTGCGCAAGTCGGCAAAAAGCCGCTCATCATTAAAGCTGACATTTCAAAAGACGAAGAAGCGAATACTATAGTCCAACAAACCATTGACGCCTTCGGGAAGCTAGATGTGCTCATTAACAACGCTGCAATGAACAAATCCGGGTCCCTGCTCGCTGGCAATCTCCTTGAATCGTACGATGTAGTCACAGCGACTAATCTGAGAGCGGTCATTTTGATAACGAGCCTCGCGGCTCCGCACCTCATCGAGACGAAGGGAAACATCATAAACGTATCCAGTATCAGTGGAACCATGGTACCGCTACCAGGATTACTCGCATATGGCATGGGGAAAGCTAGTTTGAATCATTTTACACGTGGCATTGCCTTGGAGTTAGCTCCTCATGGTGTCAGAGCAAACCTCATAAGTCCAGGTCCTGTTTTAACCGATATCCTTGAGAATTTCGATACCCAGTTTACCTGGGACAGTTTTAAGGCCGCCACAGCTTTAAACAGATTAGGAGAACCGTCAGAAATAGCTGAGTTGATGTTGTTCCTGGCAAGTGACAAAGCTAGAA